AAGGCGTGTTACGCCTGACGCCCTGATGCAGATGTCATCTGCATATATTGATAGATGGACAGATTCTGGAAGTGCGTCAACCAGGCCGAGTAGCGCTAGATTGAAAAGTGTAGGGCTAAGAACACCGCCTTGAGGCACACCTCGACGGTCGCAATGGTGCGTTGTTGTGCCATTTTCCGTCTGTACAAAGAAAGTTCTGCCTTTCAGATAGCTGTGGATCCATTGGTAAACCCGGCCCCCTAATCCAACATTTTCCATGACATCCAGAATGGCTTCATGTGATACGTTATCGTATGCACCTTTCACGTCCAAGAACAACGCCGCAAATAAACGTTTCAGTCTTTTTTGATGCTGAACAGATGAGACCAGGTCTATAACGTTATCAATTGCGGACCGCCCACGCCGAAAGCCCGTCATAGCATGAGGGTATACCTCATGGCGCTCCAGGTACCACTCTAGGCGAGTCAAAATCATCCTCTCCATCACTTTCCCGAAACAGCTGGTAAGCGCGATGGGGCGATAAGAGGTCAAGTGCAGAGGAGATTTACCTAGTTTAAGCACAGGGACGAGGCGGCTGGATTTCCATGAATGAGGGATAAATCCGCTGCTCCACGAGTCGTTGTACACGGATAGAAGGGCCCATCGAGCTGCTTCTCCGAGGTTGCAAAGAGCCATGTACGTGATCCCATCCGGACCAGGCGATGAAGATCGTTTGCATGCCGTCAAAGCCGCTTGTAGTTCCTCTAGGGAGAAAAAGGTGTCCATTCTTGAATCTATGGAAACTGGAGCGTTTTCTAGGTGGCGCGTGGTGCACGCGGACGCATGACCGGCAACTTTCATGCAGAAATCTTCTGCTACTTCAATTCGGTGCGTCCTTGGCGGAGAAAAAGACACTTGAAGGGGCGATGTTGATGTGGCGATGTTCGTAGGCCACGGACAATCCTCCATGTCTGCGTCAAAGGCTTGTGTGGATCCAAAGATTCGCACAGATATTTCCAGCGAAAGGATTGAAGTGAAATGATTCACCGCTGAATTTTTTTCTGTAGGCGCCTTGCCTCCCTCAAGTCGTGAATGGACTTAGTGCGCCTATATCTTCTTTCTGCGCGACGACGGATCGCTCTGAGCCGTTCCAATTCCGCTTGATGTTGACAATAATCTGAAGTATGTTGAATATGATAGGTCGCTTCTTGAGTAGCACCTCTAATCATATCCTCGAGGGTGTCAAGAGGAGGCGGTAGATATAAAAAGCGTACTAACGCAATAGCTTTAAAAGGACACTAAAGACAACTAATAAATCGACGTTGATTGTAGAAATAGCGATCCAGAAGAGTTAATTTTGTGCCGAGGAAGTGCTTATTTTGAAATAAAATCACGTTTTATTTTCCCGCATTGGGTCAGCTCACTTCAAATTACCCGCCTTAACAGAAGCTTTGACGTCACTGTTGCAATGCACAACGTTGCCCGGCTTTACTGTGCGGCCGCCGACACTATAGTAGTAGCAGCGGAAAAGTAGCGGGAGGCACAGCAGTAACAACGGCCTTTGAACAATATTTTTACCATAGCCTTCAAGATTGCAGGCGTGCTTGGTTAAACTGCTGGGCCCCGCTAGATGGCATGACCTGTTCATTTAAATAGTTACTGTATATGCGTCCATATACAGTATCTCTAAGTTTAATAAGGCGAAAATTGAATTTTATTACCACTGGCGCCATACCCCATAGTAGCGTGCGGTGGTTCCTTTATCCATGAAGGAAACAGACACGAAGAAGCCGCATTTTATTACGTCTCTTGACGCACGGAGGGTTTTTTCTTTATTTAGTGCAGCTAGATCGATTACTAGTGAGTAATTGTAGGTGGTAAGTCTGAGCTTATCGGGATCATTTTACGAACTTCTACAGTGGCGAATTTTTTCTCGTGCATTTACCTTAATTTCTAGGTAGGTAGGGCACTGCTGTAGATAATGTTGTCGTTTTGGACGGTGTCATACATTGAGCTTTTACTCTGATGTAAATTATTTAATGACTTCAGTGTCCCTTTAAAGAGGTCATTTTGCAGAAACTCCGGCGTCGTTGATTGTAAGCGAAAATCATTATCTTTGCGTGATGAAAAATGGAGAAAGATGCAAATAAAATAAATAATAAAAAAACTCTGGATCTGAGTGGGGATCGAACCCTGATCGTTTGTGTGGCAAGCAGGTGTTCTACCGCACATCAACACCTTTCATTTTTCTCCTTCTTTAATGCATGAAATCATCATCAGTAATCGCGCATAGCCACACCTTTCTTTTCTTTATTGCGGTGCTTGAATAATTTTCATCATGCTATTGGCTCGGCACCAATCCTCTGTTTTTGTAACAACTTTTTGTACCCGAGAAGAAGAGCCATTTCATCTGTGTTGAATTGTACAGTTGTTGTAAACCATGTATCCTTTTTATGCACTGTAACCCACCTGCTAAAATCCCTGTCAGGGATTGCAGTATTTATGAATAAATCAATCAATAAATAAATAGTATTTAGAAGTCGTGCAAGGATATACGTCATGCCGATGTCGATGCTGGACGAGCTTTAGAATATTTTCGAGAGTCCTTAACTTCATTTCCGGAATTGCAAAAAAAAAAAAAATGTAAGACGATATGCCTGATTGGGTACCTCGCATGGAATCACTATTTTACACGAAACAATTATAGAAAATTTGTATTGTTGAAAGCTGTTGAAACACAGCAAAATGACTTCTTCTGCTTGGAAATGCAGTGAAAGTAAATTTCATGCTCTACGAACACACGCGTCCTGTATACATGCTGCGCAATAAAACATGAAATATTGCCGTAATAATGTGTGGTATTAGCGTGCATTGCCATCGGGCGGAGTCAGAACAAGGGACTATCATAATTGCTTAATAGTTTAAAGCCAGTAACCTACTACAGAAGGCTCACACGCTACGGCGCACCATTAAGGCCACGTAGTGGGTGCATAGAAAGTTCGAAAAAAATGTCATACACTAACCCCCGTATTCTAGAACGTCCCTTCACTCAACGCTTCACCTTCACTTGAGAAAGCCGATAGGAGCGCCCTCTCTAGCCAGGACAGGTCACTGCATATTAGCAATAAGCTGCTGCGATTCCTGAGTAGCGCAGTGCCATTTTCAGCCGAGTGGTGGCGCAGTGCTCAACTCTGTCAAGTGAAGGGAGAAAGTGGAGTCGAGGAGCGTTTGTGAATACGGGGGTAAGGGTTTGAAGTACACTCTAGGATGAGAATATCGATATCGCGTTCAACTCTTAAAGGCGGAGCTTAAGGGTCCCCAAGTTTTTTAAGGCCAACAAAGCATGCGACAGTGGCGCAGCCTGTTGACGCCGACCGAGAGGTCGCGGCCTAGTTTTTTGTCTTCCGACCGTATACGTGTTTTTTTGAGGTCATTATCTTGACGACAATACGTTCTTGAAATTTTGGTGGACTCCGACATAGAACAATTTCATGCAAAAAAAAGGGGGGGGGGGTGATCACTTCAAGAGTAAATACATGGTAGAGTACTTACCGATACCATGCAATGCGCACTCCCGACTGGTCACGGCCGATGAATTTGTCGACGTGCGCATAGTAAAACAGACGTACCACCAAATGCACGTTTTGTACATTTATGTGTGTATACACCAGAAGCGTAAACAACGTACACATCTTTCTCGTTTCGTCTCGAAAGCACGGCAATGTTCTGTATGCGCCGTATATGGCGCGTCAGAAAAATAAAAAAGTACGTTTTGACGACGGCGTCCCAATGCACATTTCTGGTCGGACGCAGATATACGTGAGCGAATACACGAAAGCACTTTCACTCACGCAACGTCTGTCTTTCTCACATCGCTCACAAACACCATTGAATCACGGAACGAGGAATGACGGTGGATGGTAGTTCACTTATACACGAAGCTGAGTTATTCGAGAACACAGTGCATTAAGCAGCTTCATTGCGACTCGCTCAAGCACTGATGAAAGTTCCCAACTGAAGCACATCCGGATTCGGCAGGCTTGATGCGGCCTCTATCGGGGACTCGTTGAACAACGATGGCAGCATCGGTGTGGTTGACGACGTGCATGGGCCGAATATGCTGCAGTGTACATGCATTCCTGTGAACTGTGCTTACGATTTATACCGTACTTTACAGCAGGCTCACTGAACTCTTGCATGCCTGCGACTTCACTATTTAGGTTGCGTTGGAAAAGACTGCGGGGACGTTGGCGCCAGGAATCCGGTTTTGTAGTCGTGTGTAAAGATACTGTGCTGAGAGGAGAATTCACTCTTTTGTTGTGATGGCACCTAAATATTTATTGTTTTGCTGGCGAGACCAGACTCGCCTGCGTGACGATGTTTTAAGATAGTAGATGGTAGAACACCTCGTATTTTTTAGTAATGACAAAGATTCCACGCCTCCACAGTTTATGCCGTTGTTTTGAATTATATTAACGGGGTTTCATTGACGAGCTCGCTTATCCACCTCTTGAATAATGTTTTGACAACAAACCTTTGGTTTACGGTGACTAATTTCAGCTAAACACCTTTCAAGTCGGCAGCAACATTGCCGGGGAGAAAGCAGGTCGTCCAGCGAAGTATGCTTCCTATAGTTTATTTTTTTCAATTAAACAACTCCCTGCTTTAAGCCCTTACCACGCCGTCGGATCTGCATTAATTAATCTTTGTGTTGATTTCTGGTTGATCTGCTGGTTGCTCATTGATTCCATTATTACGTTAAACCGAGCAGCTGGTACACAACGAGAATGGACCGTGTATCCTGCATTAATTTCAAATTGACAAGTTTGACGGTTTTAGTCCAATACCAGAGTTACTTTGATGTTCTACATTGATTGTTACCGTATTTATAGGCACATTGGTTGAGCGCCCGCTTGACGCACGTCATCGTGCTAGTTCTGTTTCGAAAATTAGTGACGTCACATGATATTTATGCACTACGAAATGATATTGACACGTTTCGTAACACCTAAGCTACGACAATAAACCGATGTGTTGAAAACACGCACAAAAATAAAAGGCGTCGAGCCTGTTGGTCCGTGACTTTTGTGACACCACACGCAAAGGTGCCGAAGCAGAGAAGCATTTCTTTCTATCTTCAGCGACTACACTTCATTTGTTTTTTTTTGCTTCCAATAGATGACATTTCACAACACGAAGTATCTTGCTTGTTAGAGGTGGTTAGTTACTATGCATGCATCTAGTTTCACTCGTTGGCGGTGTCTTTTTCTCACTATGGTCTGCCATCAAGGGTTACATGTCTTGAAGAGTGGTTCATCTTGTGCACCTCTTCTAGGATCTTATAAAACCTACATTGTTGCTGGGCGCTGTCTCATCCGTTGTTGCCAGCACTACGAATGACCGGTTACGTTATGTACGTCGTATTTATATCGGCGATTTACACTCGGCACAAATAGGCCCTAGTGGTCCTTGAAGCTATGGCAGCCAACGGAATGATCAATGTACAAGGATACAGAGTCACTTTGATTGGTGCAACCGCCAACGAAACTGGATGAAACACAAGTGTCGGATATTGAGTCAAATTCAGAGTCGCTTCCATGTGCCAACGAGTGTTTCGAATTAGACGTCACTTCGCTCTCCACATGTAGTCGCCGTGCCTAATTCGTGTTCTGCGATACAAGGTCTCCTTACACGCGGGAGGTAGACGGGGGTAGGCTGCGCAAAGTGTAGCGTGAGCTGTTCAGCTATTTGCTCGCTGGAAAGAGCACGTGACGACGGCCATCTTGTGAGTCCCCAGCATGGTTGGGAGCACGCAGAGCGAGGCGCGGTCCTGAAGTCGGGGCAGCTCCGGTGTCACTCGATGATGGGCATGTACTCCGACTCGGCGTTACAGTAGTTCTCCAATTGCGAATGAAGCTCCTTGATGGGACATCTGTCCTGCGGTTGCATCTTCCAGCAGGTCAGCATCATCTTGTAGATCTCTTCGGGACATCCCTCGGGTTTGGCCAACAGCTTGCCGCTTGTGACTTGCTGGATAACCTGCGTGCAGATTTGTGAGGCGCTTTTATGGTTTGTGCTACAGATTGATTGATGATTGATTGGTGGGGTTTAACGTCTCAAAACCACCATATGATTATGAGAGACGCCGTAGTGGAGGGCTCCGCAAATTTTGACCACCTGGGGTTCTTTAACGTGCACCCAAATCTGAGCACACGGGCCTCGACATTTCCGCCTCCAACGGAAATGCAGCCACCGTAGCCGGGATATGAACCCGCGACCTGCGGGTCAGCAGCCGAGTACCTTAGCCACTAGACCACCGCGGCGGGGCGTTTGTGCTACAGAGATGGTCATGAAAACTCAGCAGCGCTTCTATCTGTTTGTGCCCGGAGCTAGAGTTCTAAGCGAGTGCTTGCAAATGAGGTCGCAGGAAGACTTAGTACAATACAAATTAACCAACTACTCATATGACAAGTTAGTCCCATGTGCTCAGATTTGGGTGCACTTTAAAGAACCCCAGGTGGCCGAAATTTACGGAGCCCTCCACTAAGGCGTCTCTCATAATCATACGGTAGTTTTGAGACATTAAACTCCAGATATCAATATTATATGACAAGTCCTTTGCTTAAATAGTTAAGACACCTGGCGGCAATTTCTGGCGAAGCATCTTGTGAATATTGTTTCAAATGAGTGAGAGTGAAGACTAAATAAAGAGCGCACTTAGTCACTGTTCTTGCCAACTGACGTCCTGCACAAAACCACACAGTGTTCCTTCTGGGTATGAATGAGCGCTGTCTTCGTTGTCTAACATACCGCTCGTGTACAGATTTGCTACAACGTGTGTGACGGAAATGTTATGATAAACGTGATATTTAAAACATATCCTTAAACTGCTGGGTTTCTATGTCTGGCGCATTGCGAAATAGGAAAGCTGATTATTCATCATCAGCATCGTCGATTGACAAGAACTAAGCAAAAAAAAAAAAAGCGCATGGTATTGGCTCCTGCGTTCCCTGCTCGAACGTAGTCAGCACTGCTGTCAGCACTATTTTTACATGCATGCAAGGTGAATGAGATTGAATGAGAGACGTCATACCTCGTGGTTTGACAGCTCGTACCAAGGCTGTTTGCCGAACGCGAATATCTCCCAGAGCACGACGCCGAAGCTCCAGACGTCTGACTCTACGGTGAACTTGCGGTACAGGATGCTTTCTGGAGGCATCCACCGGATGGGCAACATGGTATGTCGTCCAACCTGCGCGAAGGATGGACAAGGGTGTTCTTATATTGTAAGGGAGAGAGAGAGAAATAACTTTATTCCTTATATTGTAACATTCAGAGGCGGAATGGGCAGACTAGAAAAAGGGTGTGGTCGATGAACAGATAATGTCATAACGGCTTTGAGAATGCGTGTGTATGCTACGTAAACGTTGATAAAGAAAATATAAACGATACTTGTGACGAAATTGATTTGTGATTTCGTGCGGCCGTGCTGGCCAGGGTAAAAGAAGAAAGAACTTTATTAAAAACGAACTTGGAGCACGCGAATTCCTCACGGCTTCACTCTGGGCTTCCTCACGACACCATTGTGCCATGCGCGCACCATGTCGACGCACTGTAGCCGAAGGCTGATTGATTTCTATCAGCCAGTCATTAACGAGTGCCGGCTCCGTTTTGTATTGAAGCGGTGAAACCTCATTCACTGTGCGCTGCTTGTCATTATTCCGTGAAGCTAACGTTGACTAAGCCTAACGGAGAGCGCTGTATTTATTTATTTATTTATTAGAATACCCTCAGGGCCCGTAGGGCATTACAGAGGGGGTGGGTACAACATATATAACACACAAGAAAAAAAGACAAAATAAAGAAACAAGTATCAGATGCGCAAATCAGGAAGGCAACATAAGTCAACTAAAAATGTATAAGAATTCAAGCACATACAAGACAAAGATAGATAATGGAAACTGCGTATAGTTACAAGCATTGCTGAGAAATTGCAGTCTTGAATAACAAAGGATCTGTTATTGATACAACGGAAGAGGGAAGGTGGTTCCAATCGGCGGCTGTTTTCGGTAAGAAGGCTGCTGAAAAGAATTTGGTGCGGCAAAACGGAATGGCAACCTTATGCTGATGATCAATGCGCGATGAGTGGTATGACGGTTGTGAAATGAGGTCTCGCTTCATTGATGGATTGTGAAAAAATATCTTATGAAAAAAATGCAGTCGCGCCAGTTTCCTCCGGACAGTTAAATTGGGTAGGTCAAGGTTAGATTTCATTTCTGATATGCTAGCAGTATGGGAATAATTAGAACAAATGAACCGAACTGAGCGGTTCTGAACAGATTCTAACGCGTTAACTAAATTTTGCTGCACGGGATCCCATATAGCGGACGCGTACTCAAGCTTTGGGCGAATTAGTGATCGGTATAATAGAATTTTGAGGGACAGCGGAGCGCGAGAAAAGTTGCGGCGTAAGTATCCTAGCGTTCGGTTAGCGTTATTACAGATGTAGGTAACATGCGTGTGCCAAGATATATTGTTGGTAATGTAAACGCCGAGGTACTTATATGAAGAGACATGCTGGAGGGGAACGGCGTTAATTTCTGTAGGTACAGGGGGGAGAAATAGATCGCCGGGTTATTGACATGCATTTAGATTTGTTAGAGTTGAGAGTCATAAGCCATTTATTGCACCAGGTTGAGACAGTGTCAAGGTCTGACTGTAGAAATTGGTTGTCATATTCATTGTTTATTTCGCGGTAAATTACACAATCATCTGCAAATAACCTTATAGCGGAGTTAATGCTGTCTGGGAGATCATTAATATATTTAAGAAAGAGTAAAGGGCCTAATACGGAACCTTGGGGTACGCCGGATGTTACTTTAGAAAGAGGTGAGTTATAGCCATTAGTTGTTACAAACTGAGTGCGATTAGTCAGAAAGCATTCAATCCATTTAAGAATGTTCGGGTCAATGTTTAAGGCACTAATTTTCAGGAGGAGTAATTGGTGAGGTACTTTATCGAAAGCTTTTTGAAACTCAAGAAAAATGCAATGCACAAGTGAGCCGCGATCTAAAGCCGATCCTATGTCATTAGTAAAATGAAGAAGTTGGGTTTCACATGAGTAACTTTTTCGGAATCCGTGCTGGTAGGGAGTAAAAAAGAATTTGATTCTAGGAATGAGACAAGGTTGGAGTAAATTATATGTTCTAACATTTTACAAGGAACACTGGTTAGGGAAATTGGTCTGTAATTGAGAGGAGACTGTAAAGAAGCTTTTGTAGTTGGCCGACGCGCCCTACAGCTTTCACGACGTGTGAGTATGTGAGTGGCACCATAGGCCTCTTCCGGCCGGGATGTGCTTCTGCTTTGCGCACGTACTTTCAAATTAGTTTGACACGCTTACCCTGTAGTAATCTGTGCTGTAGACGTCCCGCGACATACCGAAGTCGCCTATTTTGACGACCAGCATGTCACCGACTAGACAGTTGCGCGTCGCCAGATCTCTGTGCACGAAGTGCTGCGATGCCAGGTACTGCATGCCTGCCGCCACCTGAATCAAGAAGGGTATCATCATCATAATCAGCCTGACTACGTCCACTCCAGGACAAAGGCCTCTTCCATGTTCTGCCAGTGAACTCGGTACTGTGCTTACTGCTGCCACTTCATACCTAAAAACTTCCTAATCTCATCTGCCCTACTAACCTTCTGTCGTCCCCTAACCCACTCGCCTTCTCTGGGAATCCAGTTTAATACACTTAACGACCAGCGGTTATCCTGTTTACGCGCTTTATGCACTGCCCATGTCTCTCCTTGATTTCAACTATGATATCCTTAACCCCCGTTTGTTCCCTAATCCACTCTGCTCTCTTCTTGTCTCTTAAGGTTACACCAACCATTTTTCTTTCCATTGCTCGCTGCATCGTCCTCAATTTATGCTTAACCCTCTTTGTAAGTCTCCGGGTTTCCGCTCCATAGCTAAGTACCGGCAAGATGCAGCTTTTAGATACGTTCCTCCTGAGGGATAGTGGAAGTCTGCGATTTTTGATTTGAGAAGGATTGCCGAATGTGCACCACCCCATTATTATTCTTCTAGTTACTTCAATCTCGTGGTTCGGCTCCGCAGTTACTGCCTGTCCTAAATAGACGTATACAGCTTCAAGCGCACTGATACCTATATTTAGGCGCTGTTCTCTTCCGAGGTTTTTGTACATTACCTTAGTTTTCTGCAGAATAATTAAGAAGGGTATACTGTTCGTTTAAAACATACGCAATGCAATGCGTGTAGGAGTACTGCTGGAAGTTGAAGGAGTGAGCATACCTGAACGGATATCTTCAGAAGGTCAGCCCTTGTCAGAGGTGCAACGGCCTTAGCACCTGGATCAAGCACCGACCGATCCGGGCCACGGTCCCTGGGAAAAGAGTATTGTGTTTCACTATGCGATGCTCGAGCACGATCGATCGAAACTTGACGTTGTTTGAATTGCTTAAAGGGTGCCCTAAACCACACAGGAGTTGAAATTTAGTTGAGGTTTTGCGGTCATACACGAGTCTACAACGAACACGGAGCTATGAAAATTTCTAGAGTCGGTTCCGTAATAATGGAGTTGCGTTAGACGGAGTTCCACACTAACGGAGATCCAATAGAAGTCCTCGCTTGTTTCGCGGTTGCCTTCGTTCGTCTCTCCATCCTGACCGAGTGCTCTTCCTCGTCGCGCGACGACAAAGAGCAGCGAGCGGACGAAGAGATATACTGTGGATGACGACACGTTGACGTCACGGCGAACGCTGAGGGTTGCAGAAAGCCACGGAGAGGAGAAGGGATTAAATTTGTGGTGCGCCCGCGGCTCGTAGCGCTGCTACGTTTGGCATCGGTGATTGTGATGGCGTTCCGAACTCGGGTGCACGCGTTTACTTAAAGCGTTAAAAAAAAAAAAAAAACGCCAGGCCTGTGCGGAAGGCGCAGCATAATCACAGCGAAAGCTAGAAGAGTGGCCTTTCAGAGCCTTCTCAAAACACTCATTGGGTAACTACTGCAAGCACACTTGCTTGATACCCACTATAGGCCATTAATAATAATTTTTGGGGGGTGTAGTAGGCCGGCATTCGCTATACTCTTCTTCGTCATTTTTCTGAGAAGCGTAGTATCCGCTAAGCACTTGTGAGGAATTTTGTGCCAATTGTTCATGCAGTGACTGACGACGATGATGAGTTATGGCTGACGTGGGTATGCGCCACAGTTAATAGGGGAACAAGAACAAGCTTTTGTAATGGATTGGAGCATTAAATAGCCCACTCGTTACGCTATTCGCATTGTGCGACGACTGATTGTTCGTTCGCTGTTTTAAAACGATTTATAAGTCATAATAATGCATTTACTTTCCTGACATCAAGCCTGCCTAAGGCAAGTTTGCCAACAAGTCGCAAACAACGGCGTCGCTCAGTTCACCTTTCACATATTTACATATTGGTCAAAATACAAGTGCGTCACAAAATACAACCACAAAATTCATTAAAGTGCCGTCAGCTTTTAGCTGACTATTGATATAAGGCAATAAAGAGAAAAAAAGACCGCCGTGGCTCACTGGTAGAATACCAGGCAGGATAGTCCGTAACTTATTCGAAATAAAAATATCAACAAATAAAAAAATTCTTGCTAGATTCATTTGCGGAGTTGAACATAGAGCAACACAAGCTTGCAGCTGTAAAAAATTGATGTTTGAAATAGTGTGCCAGAGCTACGATACAAGGGACTACGTAGACGCAGTGGGGGACCCGTTTTCAATTTTCACCTTATGTGGCTTCTAAAGATGCACCTGTACCTATTGGTACGCGGATGCTTTTACCCTCGTTCTCAGCCGTTAAGCTGCTGGTACGAACGTAAACCAAGCAGGTAAAAAAAAAAAAAAACTCGTTCGTGCAAAGTTTCAAATCCCACCTCCCACCCACATCCTTCTTTCTAAAAAATGGAGAGAGAGAGCGCGCTTTATTGTGGCAGAAAAGATGGGAGCTCGGCCTGCTGGATCAATTTTCTGACCTGCTTGTTAGGAAAGGGGTTGAAAAAGAGTGGAGAGGAATGGTGTTGAAGAGGAGGAGGAACCTGGCGATGAAACGAAACCTTGAATATCTAGCAGCTGCTACGTACAGTCTGTTATTTGTATATATATATATATATCGCGGCCTGAATGACACAACTGACCTGAGAAAATTGTTGAGGTCTCCGTGTTCCATGTACTCGAAGAGGATCATCAGCGGATCTCCGTCGGTGGAGACTCCGTAGAAGCGCACTATGTTGGCGTGCTGCAGGTTGGTGAGCAGTTCGGCCTCCCGCTCGAAGTCGACGCGCGCCTCTTCGACAGCCGCGTCCTTGAGAGTCTTCACGGCGACCAGCGTCGTCGGCTCGTCGGGGCTCAGGTAGTCCACGGTGCCCAGGAACACGCGTCCGAACGCGCCTTCGCCCAGCGACTGTATGAAGCTGATCTTCTCGCGCGCTATGTGCCGCACTGCTGCGCAAAGACGGGCGCCATCGTCAAGTCGCATGGAAGGGACATATTCGACACAGGATGTACATATACATAATAGTCGGCGCATTACCAGGAAAACAAACTTAAAGGGGCCGTACATTGGTTTCCTGCGTTAGAATAGTCTCACGGTCAGCGCATGACGTCTCGATATTTCCAGGCCGCTATAAATATATTTTTTTAGTCCGTTGAGTACGGACAGAGTTACAGGGATGTATCGCGTGTTTAACTCTCTCCTTTCGAACAAGCGAGCGTGCTTAAAGCTACGCAGGGAGCGGAATGAAGAGAAGCAAAAAGGTCTTCCTCAGCGCGCGTCATGACTTTGAGCACTTAGAAATGAAATTTCCTGCTGGGTTACGTTGGTAATTAGCAACCATTTCACATAACCTTGTACCAGGCTACGTGTTAATGCGTCAATGTAGACTTGGGCCAATAAAATATTGATCGTTCGTCCAGTGCCCGATCTTATAAGGACTGAGTTGTGCGAATTATGCGTGATGTGGGTGTGCTGTGTCGTGCCAGTTCTTTCTTTTAATTTTCCGACTTTGTTCTCATATTAATCTCGAAGTGTTTGAATGGTACTTGAGGAGAAGCAAAAAAAAAAAAAACTTGAAAGAAAAGGAGCTTATTGCTGTGTACCATTTTCGGTTTGCAATCTCGAACCTTATGAAGTATAACAGTATAATGCTTATTACATTCCAGCAGAAAAGAACCACAGATAAACCATAGTTCTGATGTACTATATATATATATATATATATATATATATATATATATATATATATATATATATTATGACGTGCAATCTATAAGAAAATACTACCGTTTCACCATCGTGTAATATATCAACGGACAATTTGTCTGGTGTGGTGTAACCTGACTTCACTGCTGCAAGTGCGGAATGTGTGCGCATGAATCTGTTTCGACTGCGCGTAACTGTTATTTCGTGTTGTCATTCTTTCCATCGACAACATTTAAACTTTGTAATTTTAGTGGGTTTTTGAGGAAACCTAACGCGATGTACTTGTAACTTTGACAAGTCTGGAATGTGCCGAAAGTCGGATACATCGAACGATTAACCGATGTCTTTCTGTCACGCTTACGTCCCGTTCGATTACAGTGACACGATCCTGCCTCAGATGAAACGCGAATAGCGGCGAGCCTGAGCAGCGGTGCAGTGTGCGCACATCGTCCGACAGCGCTGCTGACAACGCCTGTCCCGGCTGATATCTGGACCGTGCACACTGTGACATTCCGAATGTTCGCCGCTGTTCGCGTTTCATTCGACGCCGATGGTACTATACTTGTTACCACGACCCGCTCGCTGACGCGTTGGATAAGATAACGCAGGATAAGACAAACACTCTGAGTCGCACCAGTTTTTCCGCCTTTCAGCGTCTCCTGGTGGTAGACGGGGTAGTTCGGGTTCTCGACCATGCGCGCCATGTTGAGCGGGATGCGCTCTCGGCCCGTGACCACGGCTCTCTTGCGGTCGAAGCAGCGCCGGCCGCCCGGTCGTAGCGAGTCCCACAGCCAGGTGGAGAAGCGCGTGCCTTCGGCCGCGTAGTCCTGCCGGAACTGGCACCAGCGCAGCGTCACCAGCGCGCCGCCCACCGCCACCAGCACCAGTAGCACGCTCAGCGCCACGATCATCGGGATCTGGTGCTGCCCGCGCGGCAGAAAAACAATGAGTGAATGGCATCTTTGCATGCGTGGAGTTTCCTGCGATGCTTACTAGAGGTGAACTGGTGCTGCGACCGTTAAGTCTCCACGACAATAATAGATAGTACTTAGATTTGCCTAGTATTCGTATTTGCGGGGTAGACTTCAGACTTCGTTTAAGAAGGCGAACGCTTTTGATGCCTCATCAAATGCATAAATTGACCTGCGCTCGGTGTCGTTGCGACATAGAGTGATGAAAAAAAAATCATTGCGTGGTGACGTCAACAAATGATATTGCCGCGATGTAATTAACAGATCGCCATAACATTTCGGCAATCACAGGCAAACCACAGGTGATCTATCATCACTGATAACTACAAGATATAGCGTAATAAAACAAAGAAGAAATAATGTAGGTCAAAGACCTACACTTATAACAGCTCAGTATATAGTATTGCGTGAACCTGTGCGTGAAATATTTTAAGGCTTGTAAGTCATAGATGGCTCATCGAACGCGATAGTTGACGATTGGCACTTCGCGGCGGCGGCTTAAACGGTGGAATCCTTCAGGACCACAATAAAAGTTTTTCATCCACACATCTTCAAGCTACAGCTGTGTGGCTCGTATTAAACAAAGCCATGGGGAGGCTAAGCGATACCTGCAGAAAAAAAAAATCTTAGCTTCCATGCACTGATACCTCGCGTATCTTTACGCTTTCCCGCTTGCTTATCGTTCATGGCATCACGACGCCATATTGGTAAACACTCATATCCTCCTCGGTACAGCCGGAGATGGGTCAAAAATAGCCGCTATAGTATGAACGTGCAGTACTTCATCTTGGGTTGTTAGCTTTGCGGTCGCGATGACGTCGGTGCAAATAATCGATATGCTTGATTGGCTGTGCATCGTTGCAGTGTGGAAGCTTTCATATAGTCACAACGACGCACCTGTTCGGCGTCCGTCATCGTGGTCTGCTCCTGGACGCGGGGCTTTCCCGACGGCACTGGCATTCGGGGCAGGTTGGGTCTGTTACTGGGAACTGAGTACAACATGAGGCAGCACGCATTAGTGTATACGTTCAACTACAAACTACACTGTAAACCAAATTACACCCATATAGGTGTAATATAGTGTCTATAACTCACACCACAACACCCCACAATATGGGTGTTTGGCGCAGGACTACACCTATACAATAGGTGTATTTCCAAAATTTCACACATGGGCGTGTTAGGTGTAATAGCAAAATTACACCCAAATAACAAAAAAAGTGCAAGGGTGTAACATTAGAATTACACCTAAATGACAAAAAAAGGTGTAGGGGTGTAACATTAGGATTACACCTAAATGACAAAAAAGGTGTAGGAGTGTAACATTAGATTTACACCTAAATGACAAAAAAGGTGTTGGAGTGTAACATTAGAATCACACCCAAAGGTACGTTCAGCTCGCCATTTTCACACATTAGCCGCAGCGGGCTCGACATGATTGTGAGCAGCAGGAGCCTACACCTGCCGCCGTGAATGGTACCGTGAAATGGAAATTGGGATCAACCTGTTTGTTCCTCCCTTCACTTCGCGGAATTTCCCAGAAATGAGTTGCCAGTGCAAGTCATACAACAAATTTTTTGCTGATTATGGTATGTACAAACCCTTATAAGTTAAAAGCCTTAATAAGGTGAGCTTCTCACGAAACACCTTAACAGTACACCCCCCAAAAAAAAACCCCCAAAACAAAAAGCAGCTGTTAAGGAAAGATAAATGTTGTAAAATTCGCGAACAGCGGGTATCTTCGGAGGCAGTCTTAACAAAGGGCAAGAGTGTTTTAGAACACCCCTTCTTGTCTAGTCTTCAAGAGGCAAGACAAGAAGACATGGCCGTTTGTCGAAACCTTGGCTCCTAAGCATGGTGTCAGATGTACGTACACACTTGCCTGCAAGCAGTGAACTGTCCTCACCTAAAAAGTGTACATCTTACACCTTGCTTAAGACATATCAGCGAATGTCATGTCAGCGGAACTAATAGGCCAGTACTCGTGGTATAACTATAGCAGCCTGACCATAAATGTATCTGGTTGGCTCCACTTCGTCACCTCACAAATTGAACAGCGTCATGCATGGTGCTAGAAAAAACACTATGTGCCGCATGATGTCACGCATGATGTCATGGAGTGTTATCAGCACGTTACCGAAATAACTCAACAATTTGGTGTAAAGAACAAACTGATTATGTCACTACGATACTAAAAATCTGAATATTTTTGCGAGAAAAATAAACAAAAACGAAATTATTATTCAGAAGTCATCCGCAAAGGTTTGGTACGCTTCAGTTCAATTTTTAAATTCAAATTTGAATAATATTTTCATAAGAACTGAAGACAGCCCAAGTAAAAAGTGGTAGTTTCCACTTGAGAATTCCGGTCCCTGGTTAAATACATACAAAAAGGAGACAAATTGCACATATAGAATATTCAATATCACGGGAAATACAGAAAAGTAACAGATTTGCATTTCGTCTTTAAACTGCTAACATGAGCGCTGCGTTTGAAGAAAGAAGGGAAATACAAGCCCAAATACAACAACAAAACAGAAACAATTTGTAAAAATATATAGCGTAGTAAATAAAGTCACTAGGTAGTGTTACATAGATTGGTAATAGAGCATTTGATGTTATTATATTATAACAAACCGGTTGCGTAGACCCTTTTAAGTGAAGCTAGTAACGCAAATTCCTTGTTGAAAGAGCATATCGAGCAAGGTAAATCATATAATATCAAGAACATCGAGAGCTTGCTTCGCTGTGTGCATATAGTTTGCGTTCAGGAAAAAGGTATACTCACATGGCGTGAAGGCCACCTCGAGACTTCTGTTGGCGACGCCGTACTCGTTCTCAATGACTAGAGTGTAGATACCCGCGTTCGAGGGAAGGTCGGTCTGGAACTCCAGGTAACCTGCGACCCACCGTTGGCGCCACCTTCATCGTCAAACACTTCTGTGTATGTCAAAATTTACAACGCAAGGAAATACCCGTGGTCATTTGCGCGAAGCCGTACCGTTGTAGTCTTTATTTGCTTTAATTAGTCTATATGTGAATAATGCTAAAGTTTCTAAGGACAACAGACTTGCACGCGTGGCTGTAAACTCCTAATGATGCAGCACACCGCCCAAGGCTGCCGCTCTGTGCTGTGACGTCATGTGTGTGTGCTCCAGCTATATCTTTCTTTACTCTTCTTTCAATCCCTCCATCTTTTCCCCCTGTGCCGGATAGCGTACCGGTTACGCCAGACTGGTTAGCCTTTCTTCTCACTTGTTTTTTTTCCAGCTGGCTCAATTAATTTAGAAAAGTTATATTTGTCTTTGTTTTCCTAATTTTCTTTTTCACATTTATTATTCAACAAAAAATGCTAATAAGAAATACATACAAAAGTGGCGGCTCTTTGAGTGGAAGGTTTTGCATACATCGGTGCAAACCATAAAGAAGTCATTGTTGCAATGCCGTCGTGTTCCCATCAGTATTTGTAGTCTTCACGGAGCTTACGAGGAGTGTTTTTGCAAGTGAGGCAGTACACTCCTTTTCGTGGCAGTTGTATCCACTCGCACGGAGAAGTGTACGTGAGAAATCATCGCATTGAAATTTAATGTGCACAATGTATTGCTGTTATCGGCGAGCAGTCCACATTAGAATCAGAATGAAAATCCAAATTCATAATTAAAAGTTTGGTGAAGTTACGAGCTTTTAGTATACAGGAGGAAGTCCTATAGCCAAGAGACCTGCATCGGTACCTTCAGCAAACAGTTAGCGAATAGTAGTTGTAATACGTAGCCATCAGTTAGTCGGCGCTGGTAGCATGCAAGTGAACGCGGTAGTACAATTTTTCGAGATGTTATCGCCATCAAACGTCAAGCCCCGTAATAAAAAAAAATTCTGAAAGAGACCCAGAAAGGCATTGCACTCTAGAAAGTTCTATCCCAAAGTAAAATGCTGTCTGCAATTGCTGGCTACTACAAAATATCCTGCGCAACTACCACGGAAGGTTACACGTATTTTTCTTGGCGGAGTTATCCGAAGTTCCATGCAGTGCGTACCTTTGTAGATGGCAGCGTCTGTCTTGACATTCACTGCGCTGTACTTGTTCTTCTCAGTCTTTTCATTCTTGTCGTCCAGGACAAGAGGCTGGTTGTTGAAGTACCAGGAGAAGTTGTAGGCTGGGTAAGCGACCGCTTCGTACTTTATGTGTTGGTAGTAGCTCTTGCTCAGTTCCATCGACAAGATGCGGGGCGGCGCTGAATCAATCAATCAATCAATCAATCAATCAATCAATCAATCAATCAATCAATCAATCAATCAATCAATCAATCAATTGCCATTCAGACTGGAAAAGCAATTGCGGCTGATGGTTAGTCGATGCGAGCAACCTAAGCAAAAAGTTGAATTACTAGTTCGTTCAACTGTGAAAACATGGTATGCCAATTAGTCAGCATTAAAATAATGAAGAGAGAGAGAGAGAAAGCTTTATCAGAAAATCAGACAATGCCTGTCAGGAGAAAGTCTACCTCCTTCGTCACCCCAAGCCGTCGGCTTAAATTCCTCGAGACACGGCATCAGCAAGGGCTTGACTTATGGTGTCCTGCTGGACATCATCTCTCATCAAGTCTGCCAGAATGAGACTCCCACGGAACGAAGAAGAAGATGAGACCTTAGTAGAATTCCCCTCCTTTTTTCATTCATAGCGGGGGTCTCGTTCTGTTATGCGAGGGATGATCGGTCAGCTGCCCGCTCGTAACAAGATTCCGTACTATACGTGACGCCAGCAGCTAGAGTGTCCCACACTCGCCGCCGTGGCTGCAATTGCCGCTAACTGACACTCTCAGCTTTACCCAATGAAGTAGACAGGTGGATAATCATTGCTGTAGTAGCTGAATTGGCAGGGCTTGGCTCAATTTGAAGGCTGAAGGTTCAGTTACTGCCGGAGGACTCACTTTACTTTCTTCACTTTTAGGTAATTTATAATTACTACGCATAACACCGTAGTACTATTCTTTGTATTATGGTCGGCTAGTTGTGGTCAATACAGTGTCAAACAAACGAAAGACGCTCCCTTAAAATTTCCCTTCTTTCCTTCATTTGCAGCTGGATGGGTGCGGGGGTGGTGGTTTGTCATGGACATGTCATTTTAGGTGCGTCTCTACAAATAATGTAATCATAGACATCCAGACAAAATCACAGAAAATCGCAAAAAATACCACCACAAGGAAGATGCAGAAGAACCACCGCTCCGCTGCATGTGTTTCCCTATTTCACACAGGGCGGTAAGGAGGTTAGAGTTTTTTTTATTCGGTAATTCACAGATGGGAATGGTTACTCACTGTAGATGGTCAAGCTGACTTCGGCTTTGGAGCGACCGACAACGTTGTCCGCGTAGCATCGCAGTACTCCGTTGGCCGTGCCATCCACGCCGTGCAGGATCAGTTCGGCAATCTTGACCTGGTGGGGGCGACCGTCGGGGCCGATCTCCTCGGAGACCGTGTTGGCGACATCGAAGGGCGCCGCCTCGACCCGCGTCGTGTTCCAGTGAACCCTGGGCGACGGCTGACCCCAGCCGCGGCACGTCAGTGTCACGCGCTCGCGCTCGAACACCTCAGCACTCGTGTTGAAGACCTCCACCTCGGGAATGTCTGCGCAAAAACAGAAACACAAAGCTTTCGCACTGTGCAACGCGCACGCTTGAGATCTTAAAGGCGAAGAGATGCGACAAGAATCCTGAATGTGGCTGGAAGACCTCCTCACCAAACGGCGGTTGTAAGTATCCTGTTTGAATACAAGACTGCTTTTATATTTTTCAATGAAGATGTAGTAAAATTAATGCTCGGGACATGAGAAATGATGATTTATTAATATTGATAATTTCGTAACGCAAGTTGATATGTATAGTGCAAGAGAAGTAGCCGGAGCCATGTCTAAACATCGGCCTTCTTTAAACGCGTTTAATTAAAAACACTCATTGTAAAACAGTCACACAGTGTTTATGAAAATCAGCTTCACTTAGCGACAAGCATATTCTATTGTACATCCGACAAAATTTTGTACATCCAACAACATTTTTGTCACCTTAGAAAAGTAAAAACTGCAGTCACCATATGTCAAATATTATGTTCCGTTGCATTCTGAGAGGTAATGGGAACGATGCGAGGGAATGGGCATCACATGCTGCAAGCAATGCGAAATATAAAATTACGTTTTAGAGTCGAGACGCCTTAGGAATTAGCCTTGTCTTCCTTTGTGGTCACGGCATAGAACCGTTGCTATGAGCCTAAACATATGTGAGACACAAATAAAGGTTTTACAATACACCTAATTGTAGACATAGGCTAATTACAAGGTAAGAGTGCCCCCTTTCCTCCAGTGCTGGGTAGCAAACCGTATTCTCGTATCTACACTCTAAACAAATATCGAGTGAAAAGGGTGTCTTTTTGTCCCACAACAATAATCGTCATCAGGCTTGCGTGCACTTCCTTTCTTGAAAACTCGGCGCTGGCCACTTTCCCATCGAAAATGCAATGTAACGCTGATAATGGGCATGTCGATCGTGACCGGAATGTACCGGGCGCGGGGCGATAGCGCAATGATGGAACGCAATATAGATGACGATTATTGTTGTGGGACCCTTTTTACTCGCTCTTTTTTTAGAGTGTAGTTAACCTCTCGGCATTCCTCTAAGGTAAAAGATCGCTGTTACCCGCAAAGAAAGTCTGTCAAGGAAAGCATCGGTGAGTTCATCTTTACAAAGATGCGCCCAGATGTTGAGGCTTCTTGAGGAAACCTGTAACCCTAAGGCAACAAATTACCCATGGTACCTTGCCACCGTGATAAGGCGGGTTCTTGGACTCACTTTCGAGGAAAATCCTCATTGAATTGCGTACGACGACTCGAAGGAGAGATAAATACTCATTTCTATATACGCTTTCAATTTACGTTATTTGGGGCATCGCTCGGGTAACGCATGGTTACTAATCGATACGTAATCGAAAGCTTCACGTTAATTTGTTTCAGAACAGTTTGAAAAATTAGGCCCTGATTTGTTGTCTATGTATTGTTTTCTTTCACCCATTTATTCAAAAGTCAAGGTAGGGTGGGCTGTAACGGTTCGTCGGGGCGATGATTGTTGTACTGCAATGCTCCTCGCTTTGTCTGCAGGCCACAGCGGAACACCCGCTGCGAGCACATTGTCCCGCATAACTCAACACGCTTACAATGCCGCCACAGGAGAACGCCCCATGGGGAGCCTCTTCTAATATCTTGGCTTGAGCGAGTTCGTATGCGGCCACTATTCGGATGAATTCAGCGCGATTAAGGCGTACTTTCACTTACCACCAGGACTTTCACCTATCTCTGGGACCAGTTAGCGAGTTCATGACTTTCGCATATTATTTTTTTGTTGTTGTTCTAGAGTGAGTTCTCGAATTGGAATGTACTGTTGTCGATCTTCTCATATTGAAGTAGGTTCCATGGCAAAAAAAAAAAAAGAAAAAATGGTGCGCATTATAGCATTTCGTCCACGTAAGTGCGATTATTTTCGCCTACGTTATCTTTGATTGTTTGATCTCTTGTTACCTTATCCATCTTATCAACTTTTCGGTTGATGTAGCTAGGTAGGGTGAATAAACAGGCCTATCGAAGCGCAATAAACTAAGTTGTAAGTCCGCGCTCGACTGTGCTTCGCCCCGCCGCGGTGGTGTAGTGGCTAAGGTACTCGGGTGCTGACCCGCAGGTCGCGGGTTCGAATCCCGGCTGCGGCGGCTGCATTTCCGATGGAGGCGGAAATGTTGTAGGCCCGTGTACTCAGATTTGGGTGCACGTTAAAGAACCCCAGGTGGTCGAAATTTCCGGAGCCCTCCACTACGGCGTCTCTCATAATCATATCGTGGTTTTGGGACGTTAAACCCCACATATCAATCAAACTGTGCTTCATTTGTTTGACTCCTGTCTTCGTTTAAGTTGCGTTGCATTCGACAGCTTATGGGGAGCTTCCTTCGCCTTTGAATGTACTTGTTGCCTTCGTCTCAAGCGCTTCACAATAATGTTAGGGGTGTTACGTACCGAGACCGTGATACAGTTATCAAACATGTCGCAGGTGAGGGGGGGGGGGGGGGAGGGCTTCCGATGTAACGATACCTATGGCGCTTTAATGTGCAGCACCAATAGCACAATACACGGGTCTTTCATACAAAGAGTAACATACTGAAAAGAAATAAAACGTTGGTAAACACTTGCAGGTCGCATGTTTACCCAAACAGCTTTGTTTTTCAAACAATTTTCAACCTTCAACACGCCTCGGTGACACACGTGGTCAAATGGTGCTCGGTGGCTTAACTGAAGGTCGCGGGAAATAATTCCGGCCGCGGCGGCCTCTTTTCGATGGAGGCTCCTCTACTTAGACTTAGCTCTACGTTAAGGATCACGAGATGGGTAATAATTACGAAGTCCTTCCCCGACGGTTTCCCCATAGTAATATTAGAAGAGCTGGGTGAGTTAGTCTAAGATAAGGTCATTAAAAACAGCGCAAAATGTACGGACGCAAAAAAGACCAGACATGCACAGCGCTGTGACCGCGTGCGCCTTTTACATGTCGCTGTTTTTTTTTGTGCTGCTTTTAATAATGTCATAATCATATTGTGTTTTTGGGACTTCAAGCAACAACAAAGTTCTTTCTTTTTTTGAACCTTCGTCGCGATTTCGGACGCCCTCGAGATGTCGTTATCGCCGGAATAGGTCATCGGCGAGACTGCAGATAAGAAAAGAATTTTGTTTTGCGTCTTAGGCTGGCAGTGAACTCGAGCCACCCATCTTCAGGATTTTCGGCGCTTAGGCTTCCCACACTTTGGCCGTTCTCCACAGGCTGCGTGCGGTAGCGATGCACTGCCGGCAAACATCACATGCCACCGGCACCGTTACGTGCAGAGCTCGCGGATATAACGGGACAGTTTAGGAACAAGTAACGCACCTGCTTTTGGTTTTCACGCTCTTCAGTTCGGTTCATATCGATGTAGTTTTTGAGTGGAATGCACGGGCCACAGCCAACATTATATTTAAAGACCAGATTCGCCGGTACGTAACGTAGTTTTTTCGGCAAATAGCGCCCACCCATCGCCGGGCGCATAGCCGGAAATGCTTTGCGGGAGGGGGGCACCACCTTAATTTAGGGGGGAAGAGAGGCACCCCCTAATAATGGCTATTTTTCGCTCTCCTTGCCATGGCGAAAACATTTAGGTGTAGGGGGGGGGGGGGGGGGCTCCACCTTAGGTGACCGCTGAAAGTCCTTACGTATAGTGGGAAGGGACAGGGGTTTATTCCCTTTTCCTCCACCTCGCCCGGTAAAACTGCCGGACTTTAAGTAAAGTCTATTCATTCATTGTGTGTGTGTGTGAAGGCGGGGGGGGGGGGCATGTGCCTGGTGTGCCACCCCCTGGCTACTTCCTTCCCGTCGCTATACTGCCCCGCCACGGTGGTCTAGTGGCTAAGGTACTCGGCTGCTGACCCGCAGGTCGCGGGATCAAATCCCGGCTGTGGCGGCTGCATTTGCGATGGAGGCGGAAATGTTGTAGGCCCGTGTACTCAGATTTGGGTGCACGTTAAAGAACCCCAGGTGGTCGAAATATCCGGAGCCCTCCACTACGGCGTCTATCATAATCAAATGGTGGTTTCGGGACGTTAAACCCCACAAATCAATCATCCCGTCGCTATACTAACAAGTGTGATGTCTCATTTGAATATGTGGTGAGTACTGTACATGGTTGTTCCACAAAGTGCCTCGGCGGTAATCAGATTGCGGCTGCTTGCAGTCGCGACGCCCACGACTAAGATTTTTCCATAACTGTTGAGAGACCATAACGGTTATCGCTGTATAAAACGTCTCGCCACTGCAGGCGCGCTACGTCTGGCATCTCCCCCCCTCTTGCGACAAGGGTTTATCAGTGCTGCTGAGCATATCATCGTGTTTATTGCAGCGATAGCCGCTATCGGGATTTCGCTGCTGAATTCGCATCATTGCCGTATGTCGCCACCATAACGCCTCAGTAGTGATAATGCAGGCGCGTCTGAATGCCGATGATAATGTCGCAAATCCATAAATGTATATACTGTACCGAAGCATAGTGGCGCCAGCTCTGTGCCAGCGTGAAAGAAGACGTTGACGAACTGTGAGAGAGGACGTCGAGCAAAGAATTGATCCAGGGATCCTTGCGCTGTTCGGATGGCATGTCAGTGATGCTCAACGATGACGAATCGCGAATGGCAGTTGATAAGCAGACGGGCCGGTTATCCGGAGTACGCCAAGAGTTTACAGGCAGGAACCCGGCAAGCACGAGCCACACACGGACGTCAACGTCTTCTTCGGTACAGTACGAACAAAAATGGATTCGGCAGCTTTGTCTCGACCTTCGTTTTTTTTTTTTTCAAAGACGTCGCTGTTCTTCGCCAAGCCTTTTCTATCCAGTGTCCGTCGCAGATCGCAAATGGTGGTGGGATTTACCTACGGAAAGGTGGCATGTTCCACTGCGGATATATGCCACGCCTGCCACCACTCCGGCTAGTCATAGCTCTCACAACTCGCCCATACGCCCACTAATACTCCCGCCACTCCTCCCATTTCATTCACCCACTCCATGTCACTTCATTC